CCCCAAATAAATAAATCTATATATATATTAATTGATATGAATATAGTCATAGATATTTAGCAGTGGTTCTCAAATTTTACCATGCTCAGAATTATCAGCAGGACTTTTAAAACACAGATGACTGGGCCCCATTTCCCAGAGTTTCTGATTTAGACATTTCTGAAGAATTTTTATTCTTAACAACTTCCCAAGTGAAGTGTAATCTGTTAATCTGGGGATTACATTTGGAGAACCATGCTCTAAAGCAGGAGCTGGCAAACCACAGCTCACAGGCCAAAACCATCCTGCCCACTGTTTTTGTACAGCCCTGGAATTAAGAATATTTTTTACAAATGAACATTTGCAATCAGTTTGATGACAGGACACACGAACTCTGAACCAAATACTATTCTAAGAAAAAAAAAAGACTTTTATTTTTCTCCTTAGTAGACATGTATTACAAAAAAATTGTACTTTCATTGTTGTTATTTATTTATTTATTTATTTATCTATCTATTTATTTATTTATTTATTTATTTATTTATTTATTTATTTATTTATTTTAGGCGAGGCAACCCTTGGTTGACCTCACAGATTGCAAGGACCTTATCAGTTTAATCCCTTATTTTTTTTATTTATTTACTTATTTATTTTTTATGCCTACCACACCTGGTCTTCCTAGGACCCTGCTTAGCTTCCGAGATCAGACGGGATCGGGCTTGTTCAGGGTGGCATTGCCGTAGACTATTATTATTATTATTATTATTATTATTATTACATTTTTAATTTCATCGACAAAAGTTGTGGAAATGTGTTTTCTCTCATCATATATGTTCCTACCAAATATTCACTATTTGCCTTGTAGCCCATAAAACCTAAAATATTTACTGTCTGTCCCTTTACAGAAAATGTCTGCAGACCCCTGCTCTTAAGACGTATTACCTATACTGTGGTAAAAGCAGACAATAGCCAACTGCATGGATATTATGTCCTGAGTTCAAATGTTTTAGTAAGAATAATCAGAAAGCAGCATAATACAACGGAAAGACACTGCATTTGGACATATCTCTAAAAAGATGTAAATAACTCATACGGGTTTGTGAGGACTGACGGAAATAATGGATTTGAAAATGATTTCCTAAAAAACTTGTAAAGTTCCAAAGATATGCAATGCAGACAACATTCTTACAGGAACTCCCATTTTCTAGAAAGAATAAGAGCCTCAGCATCAGACATGGATTTGAATCAGGCTGCATCATATACTAGTGATGATAATGGCTTATTTACCCTTTCTAACCACAGTTTTCTTATCTGTCAAATGAAGATAATGTACTTGCTCTGTAAGATAGCTATGAAGATTTGAAGTAATATATATCAAGCACCTGACTAGGTGCCTGGCCTAAAAAAATTAGTATCACTATTATTACTAATTATTATTTCCTTTTATTATTATTGCCTTCTAGACATAGAAAATTAATTAAGAAATATGGTCTCCTCAGGAGATAGCATTATATTCTAAGGCAGTGGTTCTCAAACTTGTTTTATTCTAAGGACCCCTTTTTACTCTTAAAAATTATTAAGGAACCAAAGAGCTTTATCAGTATTTATCATTTTAGAAATTAAAAATAAGGAAAATTTAAAATATTATTGCAAAACTAGTTAACAAAATTTACTTCTTGCGTTTTTGCAAAGATGCAAGGGAAACTTTGGAATTTCAAAATGATTACATGAATAATAAGATAACTACAGAGATTATGGCAGGTAAAACAAAAAAAATATTAAGATCACGAAAGTACTAAGAACAGTCTCTGAAAATGCACATATGTATTTCCTAAAGCTACTACTTAGAAAAGTCTAGAAAACACAAGATTACACAAGTACATATTCCATTAGCCTGGGCGTGATAATGTCATCACACTCACGTAGCCTCCGTAAAACTCACTGTAGACCTATGAGAGGATGAAAGTGAAAAAGGCAAATAATGTCTTTTTTATGAATATAGTTTTGACCTTGCAGACACACTGAAAGAGTATTGGAGACCTCCACACTTTGAAAATCGCTCTTTTAAGGAATGAATCTAGTGACTGGAAAAAATAAGGCTGTATGTGAAGGAGGGAAAAGACTTTTAAAAAGATCCTTACTCATAGCACAAATATTGTATTTCATTAAGCCAGTGAAAAGGTTGTTGGAGTATCATTTTTAAAAATATAATTATGCTGTAATGTTGGATTAAAGCAAGATTGAGTTTTTGATTTCCTAATTTGATACAGTGGGAAGAAAGTATAGAGAATACAGGATGAGCTTTAGAAGCAATTTGAAGCACATTCTCTAATGTGGATAACACACTTTCATTAAAATTATTTTTACCTTAGAAAACCATAGTTGCATGGAGGTTGGTAGGGGAACAGGGATGAGTGAGAGTGGGTGTTCGTGTATAGATTAGACGTATTACTTGAGAGATCTAGATAGGTAAAGATAAGTACGATCTTGTGTAATTGCATTTATCAAAATGCATGTAGTTAGAGAAGTAACAGAGGACAGCCTGCGTGTATTGAGATAACTCGTGTGTGTGTGTGTGTGTGTGTGTGTGTGTGTGTGTGTTTCATTTTGATGCAGAAAAAGTGAGTGGTATGCTTCTTCCAAAGTAGGCTATCGGAAGCATATAAGGAATGATGG